GAACCAATGAATGTAGCCTAGTCAATTATGTAAATAGTGTTGATCTGTGATAATAAGAATTATTTAAAGTTAGTATAGATACATTTTAAGATTTTTTTAATATTATTTTTTTTATATTTTGTAATGCTATTGTGATTACTTTCAAACTGAACCAATGAATGTAGCCTAGTCAATTATGTAAATAGTGTTGATCTGTGATAATAAGAATTATTTAAAGTTAGTATAGATACATTTTAAGATTTTTTTAATATTATTTTTTTTATATTTTGTAACGCTATGGTGATTACTTTCAAACTGAACCAATGAATGTAGCCTAGTCAATTATGTAAATTGTGTTGATTTGTGATAATATGCAAAGACTGTTGTTAATACTTTTGTGTTGAATGTAAAACGTTTAGAACCTGATTTTGAAAATAAAAGCAAATAAAAAGTTTTGGCTGTCTAATTTTATTGTATTATTTAGTTCAAAAACAAATTTCCATTCGCAATGTAAAACTATGGTTTTAGCAAGCTTTTATTAGCGGTGACGACTGGGATGATTTCTAAGTGGAATCCCATTCGTCACCTGGGGGTGACATATGGGATTTTTTTTCAATATAATTCCCACTTGTCACCGGAGGGGACAAAGCTTGGGGTGACGAGCGGGAATAACCGGCTCCGAGCACATTCGAACGGTTTCAAGTGCATCCGACGGGCTGCGAGCGTATCCGACCGGCTGCGAACGATTCCGACCGGCTGCGAGCGCATCCAACCGGCTCCGAGCGCATCCGCTTTCAGGTCGCTTCCAGCCGGTCTATGCGAAATAGTTGGCGGCTCCGCTCCGACCAACTCCAAGCGCATACGATCCAGTCTGTGTAAAAAGAAAAATTTGCGCCGATGCTCTCCGAGCCGGTCTGTGTGAACGGACCCTTAACCTATAATTAAAAACTCTTTTGTCTAAGTCCTAATATTTTCCAGCATATGGCCTTATCATATTTTCACTGAGGCCAAATGCTTCATCACCAACAAATGTGTAGTTCAATGGTTGTCGATTACCGACCTGTCGTGGTGAGGGGATATTTAATGTCTTTCTGTGTATTTTATTACACAGTTCACTTTCTCTAAAATTAAATATTGTAGAATCGGATGCTTTACCGTATGCCCCAATATCAACGAACGTAAAAAGTAAATTCGAGTCGCAACTTGCTTCAAATGCTGATATAAATTTTCGCACTTCGGTTATTGTTGCTGTTGTAACTCGCAGTATTAAATAATAAATGTTTACGAGATATGTACGGTGTAATTGTAACAACATAAAACAAATATTTTTTATTTTTATGCATTAAAACATTATTATACCTTTTAAGATAGCTTTATATTAGATGAGAAGTGATATTGATAATTCGTATGCTTGGTTTAAAATTGTGTAATGTTACATTGTTAATATAGATTTCTCAACACCTCATTTCTTACTTTCAGATGTTCCAATGCATCGGTTCCCAGATGCCATGAAATTTCCTGAGCGACTTATAGGCTGGGTCAATCTTGTTGGTGGAAAACTTCAAACATCCTCTGATTTTGAATATTACAAGAAAAAAAGAATTAGTGATATACACTTTTGTGACAGTCACAGAAATCGTAATAAACGGTTGAGTGCATTGGCCATTCCAACACTTCATTTGCCTGAGTCCTTTAAATTCTTTTTCTTATATCGGGAGTCTTAATTATCTGAGTGCAAACAGAATCCTACTTAGAAATTGTTCTCTTGGCCTATGTGAAGTATAATTTTTTTTGTATGTCATAATATAATATTATCAAATTTATTTTTAAGGACAATCTCAGAGTCCAGTTATTTTGGAACAAGCTTTAATCCCTACTACGAGCCAGCCTATAATAGAACAACAAAACATATCAGGTAAATATATTTTTTTTATTTAAATTAAATAAAGATTTGAATTGGTATGTGACTTGCTTATGACCAGCTATTTAACTTTTTTTACCGCCATTTTTAGTATTTTTCCTTTAAACTGTCAAACACCAAGCGGTCACCGGTGACCGCAACCTATTGTTCTATAATTGTGTCTACAAAACCGGTACTCGACGAGTTAATCTATACTAACATAATTTAGGCAGATGTATATCTATTTGTTTATCTTTCTTAATTTTTTTTTGATTTGAGAGATTTATGTTATGATTTAAGATTTTAATAGAAATTTTTATTAATGATTGCAGTCGTGGTTTATTGTAGTTAGTATGAAATCCTCTCGCATTATGAGACTGCTAGCAGAACAGTCCCAGTCTCAGCAATCAGTATAATATACAATTGCTGCTAACGGTACAGTCAGTGTAGTAGTGTAGTGTAGTTCAGTGTAATGTGTAGTAACTGTAGGCAGTTACTAGTTAGCATTTTCTTTCAGTTGTTCTACTAACACTATTATAATTGTGTTTGTCTGCATAGTAAATATGATGTAATAATAACTGTTTAACTTCTAGCCAATACCAGCCGAAATCAGGATCACCGCCTGTGATTGCAGGTAAAATTCACATTATGTATTTGTATAATTTATGAACAAAATTAACAAAGGAAACATAATTAACTGCAGAATGTTAGTATACCTTTACAGAAGGAATTCATATATGTATAGTATGATATATACGTGCGTTTAAGATATATACATAATATATATGTATAATTTATTGAAAGTTCTTAAGCCTACCATAGTTATGTATTATTGATCATACTACCCTCATTATTGACTATTTCCTTAGCTCTTATTAATTTACTTTATGCTCTCTCTTCAATAATTTTGCACCTACCGCTGCATCAGCCAATGGTTTTAAGAATAAAAAAAAATAAATATTATAAACAGGAAATATTGATTTATTTGTTAGTATGTATGTTTGTTGGTATTGAATAGGCTTAGAAACTACTGGACCGATTTGAAAAACTCTTATCATTACAAAGCTTAGTTTTCAGGGAGTGACAGGTTTTTTATCCTGGGAAATATGTTAGGTCCACGGAAGCTGAGCCGCGAGCAAAGTTTATGTCACTAATATTTTAATATAAATGTGCAAATATCTTCATGTGTGTTTCTCACAATTAATTGTAATAAATTTGCAATTTCAGGCACATCTCTGCAAAGGAATTCTGCATCAAACTGGCTGTTAGAACATAATTATAGTGTTTTAAGCAAGCCTCGAAGAACAATTGGGAAAGGTATTGTTCAGCTATTATTTAAAATATTTTTTGTTCTATAGGCAGTGTGATGGCAATCATTCGTTTTAATACCTATTTTAGATATTAAAACTGGAAATTTCTTGTGAGTTTAAGTAGGCTTAAAAATGTTTTCAACAGATATTCCCAACAACTTAAAGCTGACAATAAACAACTACACATTCTCAACAATAGTATAGATAGTAGATTTTATCAAATTTATCAAATATAAATTGTTTGTTGCACAATATCTCATAATGTAAAAGTTAACTTTTTACTTATGTAGTTCGAATTATCACATATAAATTATCTTTTCACAGATCTAATGGGTCCATTGCGCAAGAAGATCAAGGATCTCCAGGCGGAAGTATCACGCCAACGCAAGAAGAACCAGTTTTTTAAAGCAAGATTAAATGGAGCGGAAGTGGTATCCAGCAAAATGGCTATGGATAATTTCGCAAAGATTTTAGATAAACCGGCCCGATTGTTTCTCCAAATGCAACTGCAGGCATCAAAGAAACCAAAAGGACGTCGCTTTACGCATAATGAAAAGGTGCTTTCTTTGTCACTATACAAAAAAAGTCCTAAGGCATATAGTCTATTAAGTAAACTTTTTACTTTGCGTTCAAGCAAATGTATGAAGCATCTTTTGAGCACTGTAAAAATACACCAAGGAATTGTTCCTATAGTGTACGAAAGAATTAAAAAAACTATGTCGGAAAAACATGAAAATGACCGGTTGTGTTCACTAATATTTGACGAGATGTCCTTGACACCTCAAGTGAATTATAATACTCAGCAAGATATTTTGGTAGGCCTTGCCATCAATAAATATAAAAAAAAATACTGACCATGTTTTGGTGTTTATGGTCAAAGGAATAAAACAAAACTTCAAACAGCCTATAGCTTATAATTTTACAACCGGTCTAAACAAAGGAGAGCTAAAAAATATTATTATTGACGTCATAAACCATGCTCAAAGGTCGGGTCTTATAATAATTAATACGGTATGTGACCAAAGCGCTGTAAATGTTGGCGCCGTAACGGAATTAATTAATGAGACCAAATCAAAATATTTAACTAAGCTAAAAGAGTGGCGGTATGACCATTTTTTAATAAATGGAAAAGTTATTATTCCATTATTTGATGTGCCTCATTTGATAAAAGGTATAATAACTTTTATCAAATGAGGCACTGATAAAAGGTATAAGAAATAATTTAATCACGAAAGATTTGGTGTATGAGTCCAACAACATAGTAAAAACTGTTAAATGGGAACACTTCCAAAAAGTATATGCCGCAGACAAATCGTTTGGTGAACTAAGGCTATTAGATAAATTAACCGAAGAACATGTAAACCCTGAAAAAATCAATAAAATGAGAGTGAAATCGGCAACGCAATTATTTAGCCACAGCGTCGCTGTGGCTACGGAACATTTAACAGCCAGAGGCGATTTACCTTTCGAATGTAAACAAATATTAGAAATTACTTTGTTGTTGGACAACTTATTTGATTCTTTGAATGTTAGCAGTTTTTTCATTCCTAATGGAAAAATATTAAAAGGGCCTATTAAAAGGCACTCGCCCCATCATGACTTTGGAGGGAAGCTAAAAAAATTTTTAAAAACTGTAATATTTAAATACAATAAAACTGTTGGAGACAAAACTCGGGGTATTCCACGAAGCGCACCTACGAATATCACTCGCATAGTGCGGATACTAAGAAATAAAAATATCGATATAAGAAAATATTGATTATTTAAAAGACTAACTTAAATATCTATCATCTGTCAGTTTCATTATAATAATGTAATTACAGTACTTATAATTTTCGTAATGTTAATATAAAAATCCTATAGATAAGACGTATACATGATGCGCTGATATTCAACGCGTGAGTGGCGTGCGCCCGCCACTAAATTCCCCGAGCCAACCCGAATTTAGCCGAGAGTTTCCGGAACTTGTTTACGTGCTCAGGTCTCATTACACTATCGCGACGTCACGGGCTGAGTGTATGCAATTCTACGCCTGTTTTGTTATTGTTATTTTTTCTGTTTTTCGTGCAAATTATTGAAATAAAATAATGGAGCCGACGGCAGGTCCAAGTAGTAGAAATATTAACCCATCTATTAATTACGTACTGGGCCGGAAGGGGACACAAGTGTTAGTGTACAGTGGGTTGCCAAACTAATAGGGACAATCACATTTTTTATCAATATCTTTCTTTAGGCACACTTGACTGCACTTATAGGTGGTATAAGTGTTTCTAAAATATTTTTTTACGTTCTAAGAACCTCAATAACTTAAATTTTAAGAGGATTCAAAGTGTCGGGGGATTGTTTATTTTAATACAAACATTTTAATACCCGGAGAGACGCTGAGTTCTTTGTACGTGTAAAAGTGAAATACGTAACCAATAATTTAAAACAGCTATTTTGTGAATTTCTGCAATAATATTATTATCAAAGTAAGTATTATTTTACTGTTATTAATACAAAAGTAATTAAGAGCAGATTTTTGAAATAAAATTGATATATTTTTTATTTTATGGTTTTCGGTATGGGTCGAGGGGTAGATTTGACTCCAAGAAAAAAATCCGAGATTAAAACTCTTTTACTGCATACCAGTCATTCCCAAAGGCAGATAGCAGAGCTAGCTGGCGTTTCTAAGTCTGCCGTCAATAAAATAAAAATACATTTGGACCAAAACCAGCCACTATCGCCCAAAAGAAAAGGCAAATGTGGAAGAAAACGGGTCACGACACCACGGACTGACAGGAAAATTCGCGATATCTGTTTGCAAAACAGAAACAAAAGTGCAAGTCTTTTAACTACGATGGTTCAGGAATCAGGAATACCAGTTTCGAAAAGAACCGTACAGCGAAGGTTGGCAGAGGAAGACCTGACCGGTCATCGGCCAGTGAAAAAACCACGGTTGACAGAGACGATGAAGAAGAAACGGCTTGCGTGGGCTCGTGAGCACCGTTCGAAGACTGTTGAAGACTGGAGTAAGGTCAGTTTATTGTCTATTTTTATTTTATGTTATATAAAACAATATTTAAAAAAAACAAACATAATTTTTTTTTGGTTGAATCTCTTTCGAGATTCTAGCGGACAAATGCAACTTTGTCAGGCGGCGTCCGGGCGAGAAATATCACCCTGACTGCATAGTGGAACGCGTTAAACACCCGTAATAATAATGGTATGGTCTGTCATAAGCGCTAAAGGGGTTGGGCGCCTGTACATTGTCCAGGGAACTATGAGACAGGACCAATACAAGTAAGTCCTAGAAACTCGCCTGTTACCACTACTTCAAGAATGGTTCCCAAATAAATGGGCAGGAGTAAGTGTTCATGCACGATTCAGCACCATGTCATGGAGTGTAACAAAGTTTTAGCAGACCACAACATTTCAGTATTACCTTGGCCCGGCAATTCTCCAGATATGAACCCCATAGAAAACTTATGGGAAATTACCAAGGCAGAATTTGCCAAGGAAATGATAACCACCAAGGTAAAATTAATTGAAAAGTTAATAAATGTCTGGCATCACAACCCCAGAATAAAAGAAAGTGCAAAAAAAGCATAGAAAGTATGCCGAGACGAATTGAGACACTTATAGAGGTAGAATCCAAAGGAAATGTGACGAAATATTAACAATTTCTCAGAACCATGTTTTTCTAGGTACAAATATTTTTAAGTGTTTTAATATTATCATTATTTATTGTTAAATTACTTTTAAGATATGTATCTAATATTAATAAATACAATTATAACTTAAAACAGCGTTTTTAATTAGTTATGGACCAGTATAGTTCAAAATACAAATATTTTGTGACTGTCCCTATTAATTTGGCAACCGACTGTATAATAACAAACAATATCGTAAACACAAGGTTTATAAAAACGGTAATGCCTTGTGGCGGTGTAATAAAAGAGTGTAATGGCTTAGGCCTCCTACGCACTGGCGACCATGGTCGCCGCGACCTGGCCGCGGCGGCCAGTGAATTCTGGACTTTTATAGCAATCGCTATATAGCCCCTACGCACTTAGCGGCCAGCGACCAGCGGCCACCGTTGGCCGCGGCGTCCAATTTGATGCCACGCGACCAGCGACCAATCGTGGCCGTCGAGAACATCACTTCTGTATTAAAATTCATCAGTGCTACCGCATCGGCCGCGGCGACCAGACGTGTAGCTAGCTACAGAGTGATTATTTTACAATGGCCAATTTCGACACGGAAAGGTTCATAATTGAAAATAGAAGAGGTTTATGGGATTTAGAATCAAATGATTACTCCAATAAAGATGTTAAGCGGCAGTTATGGCTTGAACTGGTCGATATATTTGGCGGTGAATCCATGGAAGATAAAGAAAAGGCAGAACTTGGTTAGTATTTTATTTTATTATGCCTAAGTAAATTAATAATGCGATGAACTACAATAAACGCAGCAGGTGCTGTAGTAGCATTCGACACGTATATGTGACATGAGTGTTTTTTTTAAAGTTGTTCCGTTCATTCAAAATCTAAGAAATTTTAGCAAATAGGTAATTGTCAAAAGTATAACTATTTTATTTCTACTATTTTTCGCTTTGCACATGAGTTTTGACAATTATTTGCCAAAATTTCCCAGGTTTTAATCATTAGATTGGAATAACTTTTTGAAAAGATTACTCATACCGCATGTGCGTTTGACGCCATTTTGTTTACGGCGCGCAATGGCGGCTCGCAGCGAGCAAGTGCCTCAACGCACAAACTGAGCAGCCGTCGTAGGTACGCACCCATATATTTACAAATTGTGCCAGGGCAAGCGACCATCGGTACTGAAGTAGTTTGCGAATATATCTCGATATTCGGTTGATGTTCTATTTGCTCTATTAGGTAAACATGCAGGTATTTCTAATAAAGCCTCAGGTACAGTTAACGTGTCCTTGAAATCATATCCGTCTCTTTCTCGCACAAAATTATGAAGCACACATAGAGCTTTTATAATCACAACTGCAAATTCTTTCTTGACGTTTAGGGGTCGGTGAAGAATCTGCCATTTATTGGCTAATATTCCAAATGTACATTCAATATAGCGGCGGGCACGGGATAGTCGATAATTAAAATTAGTCTTTACATTATTCAAGTTTCTCCCAGCATACGGTCGCATCATATGTTCCGATAGTGAAAACGCCTCATCACCCACTAAAACGAACGGCATTGATTGGCCATTTTCTTTGATGGGGTTATTGCTCGGAATATCGAGATCATTATTTAAAAGCCTATGATAAAATACAGAGTCTTTGTAAATTGACGAATCACTGAATTTGCCGTATGCTCCAATATCTACGTAAAGAAATTTATAATTTACATCACATATTGCAAGTAACACGATTGAAAAATAATTCTTGTAATTGTAATAAAGAGATCCCGAATGTTGTGGTTTGATAACTAATGTGCTTGCCGTCGATGGCTCCAATGCAATTAGGAAATTGGGCGTATTTTTGAAAACCTTCAGCCGTTTGAATCCACTTATCTCTGGTCAATTGTGGCATCACAATTGGTTTTAATATCTCCCATATTGCTTCACAAACATCAAATACTATTTCCGATACTGTAGGAAGCCCTATACGGTATTCATGACTTATATGAGATAAAGAACACCCAGTAGCCAAATACCTGAAAATAAAATTCACATTAATAAACATAATATTAGTTTTGTAATATGTAATACATTTATTTATTGATTTACAGGCATTACTCTCCAAAAAAGATGGAAAAACCTTAGAGACTGTTTCACAAGAGAGCTGCGCCGTCTTAAAGATGTCAAAAGTGGTTCTGCTGCAAAACGTAAATCACAATACACCTATTTCAACCAATTACTGTTTTTGAAATCAGTGCTGGACACAAACGCAACAGAAAATAGTCTCGAAGAGGCAAGTCAAGAAAATAAAAGTGCAAGATCTTCTGATCTTGAGACTCAACAGTCTGCATCAAAGTCGATTAGAACAAAAAGGAAGAAAAAAATACCAAACGAAGAATCCGATACAGACCCTCTAATTTCAGATCTGCATAAGACCATAGCGACTACACAGAATGATTCAAATTGTGACAGACTGTTTCTTTTATCCCTCCTCGAAAGATTTCAAACAATCCCTGCTGCAATGAAAACCAAAGCGAAAATGGAAATCATGGAAATTATAGAAAAATACCAACCGAACTGTACACCTACAACAGCGCGCATAAACTATTCAAGTAATTTCAATACTCTAAACGACCAAGAATATGACCCTAATCGACCGAGTTATTCAGGTTATTCTACTACCAACAGGATATCAGATGATTCAAATTACAGCGATAATCATACTCATTATTCTGATATTTCTCAAAATTCAGAAATGATAGACCTATTTCCCAATTTCAATGATTAATTATTCACAATTGCCATTTTTTAAGTTATGAAAATACGAATAATTTGATTATCTACTTCAGTTTTTTAATATTTAAAAACATGTTATAAGCAAGCCCTTTTCCTCTCCTTTTCAAAGTCGTAAAATAGAATACTACTGAACAATAGTTCATAAATTTTTTAAAGTGGCAAAACCTTGGTCAATGTTTTTTACAGGTTGTTGTGAAAAACACAACAGTGGTGGTTTAGGGCGATTCAGAAACGAGTCTTGTATAATTCAAATTTACAAAAAAATCCATTTAGCAGTTTAAGTAAAAAAAAGGCCCTATCACATTATTTTTATTTTTCCTGTACACAATACTCCATTCCGAAACACCCTTTAAAATATATCACGTATTTTTTAAACATTCTGTATTTAAAAAAGAAAAAGCTTACCTTATTGTTATTACTAATTTTTCTTCTGCTGGAATGCATTTCCGATAGTTGTTACCAGTTCCAGTAATTTTTGGTTTTATTGTATACAGTAACAGGTTAAAAGTATTCGTTGACATTATCATGTAATTAAAGAATCTCTTCTCATACATTTTTAAATCCAAAAAATAAGTATAATATAATCCTTTAGTCTTTCTCTCGCAAAGTAATGGATGCACCCAAAACTGTCTTTTACGTGAAATCTTCCGTTTTCGTTTTCGTAGTAAATACACAAGCACAGTTAGCGTGATTATCTTCTGCACGTCCATCTTGACACACCCTTGGAAGTCGACTGCAAATTTTTCGGCCGTCCACATGTCGCGCTTGCCTACGCAACGGCGACCATGGCCGCGGCGGCCTGGCCGCGTCTATGGTCGCCAGTGCGTAGGAGGCCTTAGAGCAATAGCGCACTAGCGGCTTGGCCGCAGCGGCCAGGTCGCGGCGGCCATCGAGATAGATACCTTAGTATGAAATCGCCACAGAGCGCGCGCACCTGGTCGCACGCGACCAGCGGCCACACTAAGCCGCAGCGGCCAGCGAGATCGGAGCGGCGCGTTTGCGGCCAGTGTTCAGTCGCTGGTCGCTGCGGCCACTGAGATCTATAGTATTGTAGTAAAATCACCAGTGTGCGCGCACTAGCCGTGGCGGCCGCACGTGTTGTAGAGCTACAGCGTGATTTGTAATTATCGCGATGTCTTTCGACACAGAAAGATTTATAACAGAAATTGTGACGAGGCGACCCTGTTTAACAAAACAATGTAACCCGGGTTACAGCGTTTTATGGTAATACATCGCTAAATAATCTACGCGATGTTAGCTTGGTACAGGTTTGATTTACAGTTCAATAATGGCTTCCAGTAACAAAAAAACTCAATTTTACACTTTACTGCAACCCAGAGTTCTAATAAAATGTTCTGGCAAAACGCGGCATTCTAGATTGCAGCGTTTTGCCGTGATAAGTAAGAGGGTAGCGGGGCGTGCGGGTGAGCCGCGCACGTGTTTGTTTTTTGGTAAAACATTGCAAGCTAAGGTTGCATCGTTTTGTCAAAATAATAATAAACAACACTGCAGTCACGCGTATTGTTTACATTCCTTTATTGTTCATCTATTGCTCTAAGTAGTCGGATGTGCTAAGGTAGTGTTATAATTATGGCGAAATATGAACGTATCAAAAAGTTATACAATTTGGCAGTACTTGGAAATAATTCATACAGTAAACCGGTAAGTGTGTGTTTAACTTTATTTCTATATTTTCACAGGTAAACATAATTCGAATACTAGATAACAACTGAACATTAGGTAATTAACTGAATGCAAATAATAACGATTATGGCTTTAAAAAAAAAACGTTATTTATATGTCGTGTACTTAATTTAGAATTTGACTTCATTCCTAAACATTGTTTACAGTTTGTTTATAGGTAAGAAACGAAATGTCAACAATGTTAGAATGTCTTTTTACCGCATTTTCTTACAAAAAGACATGAAGGTTGTTGACACTTTGTTAATTAAGTACCTTTAACGACATTTAGTACCTATAGGTAAGTTAGGGTACACACATAAAGTAAGAATAAACATTATAGGTAAAGAAGGTAGATCTAGTACCGTAGGTAGTTTGGGGCATGGTGGTTTACCCTGCTAAGCAGATATTGACATTGTGTCACTTAAAATAAAGTCGCAAATACTTCGGTCGTAGGTCGGACTTATCGGAGTTATTTTCGACTTTATTTGCAATGTTGATATTTGCATGCCTGTAAAACTGTGCTATCTATTTTTCATCTGGTTTGAATTTGCCCTTACAAAATAATATAAAAAGTGTTTTATTCTTTTAATCTAAATTCTCTTACCAACTCTTGCGTCACCAAACTCACGTGTCGCGAGAACTGAAAATGAATGTACCTACAATATATTTTTTTTTACATAAAGGATACGGCAACCTTGTTTTATTTCATTTAGTTGGTTTTAATATTTTTCTATGTTTATTCATGGGCCAAATTACATCCAAATCTGATATGCGCTTAACACGTTCAGTGCCACCGACTCGCCCGGAGAGTCCACGTAAATTTTATTCCAGCGCCGTAGACTCGCCCGTCGAGTTCAATGTGTTTGCTATTTTTTTCCAAAATGCATGTGTATTTTCTGGTTAAAATGATACTGAAGACTAAATATACCCTAATCTAAAGAATTACGTGGTGGGCCGGGTGTGCAGACCCAGTTTATAATCGAAAGAAAATAAACTATTCTGCAATGCCTTGAACTCGCTAGGCGAGTTCACTGACATAGATTCTCAAACTTTTATTAATGAAATATCTATATGTACGGTTGATACTTTTATTTCATTTTACCAAAAGTCACATTTACTCGTAAAACAACGGCGGATTGTGTTCTACATCTTGTAGGGGCTCGAATTTGGTGTTATTATATAGGCAAATTTTACCTTACACGCTACTTTATCACGCAATTGCCGACCTTATGTAAACACAATAAGGATAATAAATTGCATAGTTATTATATTGAATATATAGAATTGGAGACCGATAATGATGGTGACTTTGATTTCGAATTTGTCGAAGAAGATACTCAACAAAACTATGTTGCGCCTGATGAAGCATGGATGCCCGGAAACCCACAAAACTCCAACGAATTCCCATTTGTGAAGTCCCCCGGACTGAAAGAAGATGTTGATGATGAGCCCATTCAATATTTCGACACATTATGCACATCCCAGCTGTTGGAATTACTTAAAGACTGTTCCAATGAATATGGAGAAAATGAGAAAACGTCGGCAGCGGGTAGAAAAAGCAGAAAAATATCTTGGAAGCCTGTAACATGTCAAGAACTGAAACTTTTTTTTGGTCTCCTATTTCATATGGGATTTGTAAAACCTACGAGTTTATCAAACGAAAATTTTAATTGCCAATACAAAAATAATAGTGATTACTTACCCCATGCAAACGAGAAATTTACGATACCATGTGTAGAAGCACACAATCACTCCAATTTACAACTCGATGAAGATAGATTTACGACAATAATATAAATTAGAAATAATTACAAACAAACATGACAAACCACTTAGATAAACGTGTACATACATTTACAGGCATGTGTTTAGAAGGTCCCTCTACTTTCAATAATTAATTGATATTTTTCTCTATTTTTAAGGTCATGCCCCGAAGAAGGTATGGATTGACCAAACAGTGCTAACGTCCCGCCAGGCCTTCCTAGATGGCTTGACCACTGGCTTAAAACAACCTTCAGGAAAGGGCAAACGCTTAATTATCGGCCATATAGGCGGGGAAGAAGGGTTCGTAGAAGACAGCCTATTAATATTTGAAGCCACAAAAAACAAAGAAGATTATCATCAAGAGATGAATGCCGATTCCTTCGAAAAGTGGTTCAGAGAGGTCTTGCCAAAACTCAAACCAAATTCCGTGGTAGTGATGGATAATGCCCCGTACCACTCCAGGAAACTGGAATCGCTGCCTACAATGTCTTGGACTAAATCCAGAATACAAGAGTGGCTAACAAGCAATAATATCGCATTCGAAGCAACAATGATAAAAGCTACTCTTATAGACATTGTACGGCAGCACAAACACTGAAAAGTTTGTTGTGGACGAGATGGCAGCACACCATGGAATTACGGTTTTACGTCTGCCCCCATACCACTGTGAGCTTAACCCTATTGAGTTGGTATGGGCGCAGGCCAAAGGACATGTGGCAAGAAATAACAAAACTTTTAAAATGCCAGAAGTTAAAAAACTGTCTGAAGAAGGACTTCAACTGATCACAGCAGAAAAATGGAGTAGTTGCGTGTCTCACGTTATTAAAGAAGAAGACAAAATGTATGGCCTTGACCACATGATTGACAATGTGTCAGACAACTTTATTATTAATGTCACCGAAAGTGATAGCGATGATTTTTAATCTGATGATGATTAAAAACAAATGATGTTATTAGCGTTGTTTTTGAAATGAAATGATGAAATGAAACATTTATTTTATTATCAATACCTACCCAATTTTTTTTTTATATTTTACTCATCTGTAGTTTCAACTACTTCAATTAATTCACTAGACGATCGAGACAATTTCATTCATTTAGTTGCTTTTTCAATCATTCACTTTTTCGCAACACTATTTTTATTTCATCAAAAACTGACAACACAGCAAACGTCAGTCGACTTCGTCTAATAATACGATTATCTGTGACATATTTGTGGATCATCCATTTAATTGTGTTAAACATAAAAATACATTAAAAAAATATTTTGAAAATACTGTAATTCATGTTCTTGTATACAGTTGGTGCCGTTCAATAAACAGGATTTTATCTGGCAAAATCACATATCATGGTGAAGATGAAACAAAAACAGCAGCACAAATGTATAAAAATAAACATAAACATTTAATAATTAAGTAAAAATATTATTTTTATATAACTATATATTATTAAATTTATCTTCACACTTCTTGCTGATACGATGGCTCCTTCTCTGTTACCGCAGTGCGTATCTGGAACTTTCTCCCACTCTCTACGTAACAGTCCTTCTCTGGAGATCTTCAAAAGGAAAATTAAAAAGTATTTTCTTTCGCAGTGACATATAGTGTATATATACATACACAGTAGTGCGTGTGTGTCGGAGATCCGTTGGTGACCATGCCTACGACGATTGCTGCCCAGCTCCTTAACCCTTAAACCCTACCCGGGGGTCCAGCAAACCCCAGAGGATGAATATTTCTAAATATTTTTGCAATAATTAAACGCACTTATATGTCACTCCATTCTAATCTCTAATGACGTCGGCGGCCATCTTGTAATTAGTCGTGCGTCAGCGCTTTGACTGTTTTGACGGATTTATTGCAATTTATGGGTTTGTCAGACCCCAGGGTAGTAATAACGCAATATATTGTCATTTCTTTTCGTCGATATATTGGTGAATGCTGCTATTTTTTATATAATATTATAAAGGGTAAGTTTCATATTTTGATGTAGTTATTATAATAACAGTGGTATTTCATTCTTTAGAAACAATTATAGAGGTATAGACAAATCAAGCATTTTTGTTGTTTTGTTTTTACAGTTCATTCAATATTGTGTTTTATGTCATTGTTTCAGTTTTAACGATCAATATTGCATAAAATGGACCAACAGATTACTCAGTGGTTGCATGAAGACGAATCAGAAGATGAAGAGGCATGTGAAGTCGCTGTTCCTGACCTTGAAAATGATGTTGAAGAAGATGGAACTATTGAAGATTTTCGAGCAGAAATTCTGGATGATAATACAGAAGATTCTTCATCAGATGATGAAATTCCTCTGTAGAATTACAGTTCAGGTAATTTTCTTCGTGTCTTACCTGTCCCTAATAATCTGAAGGGGAAAAACGGGTTTAGGTGGACAGGTGAAAAACCAACAAGGTCTAAAATTCCACGAAGAAATATTTTGTTCCATCCTCCTGGACCTAAAGCTGCAGCTCGTGAAATAACAACAGAGCAAGAAGCATGGAGTATTATTTTTACTGATGAAATACTTGAAGAAATTGTTAGGAATACAAATGCTGAAATTGGTAGACAGAGAGAAAAATACAAACGAGACAGACCTATGCAGAATATGGAGGATGAAAACGCGGATGCATCGAGTTTCACAAAAATACGTCCTTCTTTTGCTCAGGATGTAAGTGTGTTGGAAATCAAGGCTTTATTTGGGCTTTACTACTTAGCGGGGGTTCTCAACGTGAATTATGTCACCACCAAGGAATTATTTGACAAGAACTCAGGTGTTGGCTATTTTCGTGCCACCATGAGCCAAGCTAGATTTGAGTTTCTGACAAACTGTCTGCGTTTTGACGACCGGTCTACTAGAGAAAAACGACAGCAAAATGACAGATTAGCACCAATTAGGAACATTTTTGATCACATTGTCAAAGTTTCAAATGAAGTATATAGCCCTTCAGATTGCTGTACATTATACGAAATGTTGTTGGGCTTTAGAGGTAGATGTATCTTCAAAATGTACATACCGAGTAAACCAGACAAATATGGTATAAAAATTTTAATGACTTGTGACTCTAAAGCTGCTTATATGATAGATGCTTTTGTATATTTGGGCAAAGGCTCGTGCCCTACTAGTGTACCAGCTGCTCACTTCTTTACTATGAAACTGACTGAGAAAATTCATGTCACAAACCGCAACCTCACTTGTGATAATTGGTTCACATCAATACCAGTGGCAAAAGAATTGTTGCAAAAGCAGGTGACTCTTGTAGGTACGCTACGTAGAAACAAAAGAGACATTCCACCTTATTTTGTTGAGATAAAAGATCGCGATCGCAACACAGCAAAGTTTGCCTTTTCAGAAGAACTTACGCTTTTGTCTTACTGTCCACCAAATTCCAAAAAGAAAAAAAAAGTCACCATGTCGTTAACTATGCATCCAACAGCAGATCCTGATGCAACAATTCAATTATCAGAGATGATAGAGTATTATAATAAGACTAAAGGCGGAGTTGACTTGATGGATCAGCTATGCCACAAGTACAGCGTGTTTAGGAGATCAAAAAGGTGGCCTATGGAAGTTTTTTATGGCCTTCTGAATATAGTAGGTGTTAATTCATATGTCTTGCTAAAAATGGCCACGAAAAGAGCTACAAAAAGACGTCATTTCTTGAAAAAACTTGCCTTAGATCTGATCACCCCTCAAATGGAAGAACGCTTTACATGGCCCTCTTTGCCCATGAATCTTCAAGTTCTCTTTGGTGGAATCTTGCAAAAGAAGCGGCCATTGCAAGAACCAAGTTCTGCTCCCACTGCTAAGAAAAGATGTGCCATGTGCCCAAGGGGTAAAGACCGGAAAACCAAGGTCACCTGTGGCATGTGCCGAAAACCTCTTTGCGGTGAACATACTGAGGCTATGTGCCAAGAATGTGTTACCAAAAACAATTAATTATTTTTTTGTATTGTTAAATAAGCGTTCATAATATTAACTCGTTGAGTACCGTCATTATAGACACAATTATAGAACAATAGGTTGCGGTCACTGGTGACCGCTTGGTGTTTGACAGTTTAAACAGAAATTGTAATTGAATTGTAGTTTTGTTTTGTGAGCATAATTTATATGTATTGGGGTCCTTAAAACCCCTGGTTAGTAATAGTGTCTTTTGTCGTAAAGTGTAGCTTATCCAAAATGATCGCCATTGTGTGGATGGCAGCTTATTTTGTTCACTGGTAAGTGATTGTGTTGTCCTTATTAATCAATAATCGGACCTATTTACTTAAAACACTGCTATTAAGTAATGTTTACAAAATATTCCATGTACCTAGAGTTTTTGAGCATGTTCATGTCCAGCTCTTGTAAATGGGTCATACAACTAAGTTTTTGCCGTAATCTCGTAGATTTGATACGCAAAAGCATAAATACATTTACTTGTAAACTTAAATGAGAATGGTTTTTGTTTTAGTAAAATGAACGAGTACCGCCGAGCGGCGCGGCGCTCGCGGCGACTAGCTGCGGTGGAGGCCCGGCGGCGCGCTGGCGCCATCCAGCTGCCACCAACACCACTGCACCCCGGGAAGGTGTCAGCGCCCACAAACGTTCCGGTGCCCTCCTAGGGGAAGCACCCATATTTATTTTTTTTATACTGTATATTTTATGTAGTATATTTATATGTAGTATATGCATATATATATTATAATATGGAAATTATACTATGAACTGTAACATGTTGTTTAAACTGTCAAACACCAAGCGGTCACCGGTGACCGCAACCTATGGTTCTATAATTGTGTCTACAAAACCGGTACTCGACGAGTTAATTAGCCAAATACCTATTATATACACAAACCTTAAATCTATATACCTATTACGTCTTCTGCAAGAGATTTCAAACCATAACCTCGTGTCAGAGGTGCAGTAAGCACCTATGTTACCCAGTTATAGTAGTTCCAAAAAACAATAAACGTCTTTGATAAGATACTGTTTAGGTAAAACAAGTTTCTTACGGTCGTTCCATAAAAAACTTTGATATATTATGTAGTACATTTAGGTAGGTACTTATTATGTCGTATAGGTTTATCCTAAAACATTTCGATAGTTGGTTATAGCGCCTGGTGGACATGGTATTTAAAATCTTCAAAGGCACCGCCGTGCATTGTATTGCCGTTATCAGCAAACTAATGTGATTCTATTGTGCGTATCTAGGTATGAATCATATAAGGTTTCTTTGAAAAAGCAATTAGGTATATGGTAGATTTTGGCTTTATTTTTTTTTTCTTTGGCGATTTGGCTTTAGTTCTCGTGGTATTTAAATGTCATCTGTCAAAATTAAAACTTTTGACATTTCGCGCGCTCTCAGTCAAACTTATAAAACTGTTAGAACTTCTATCGAAAGTGTGATCTATCCAAAATGATAGCCAATGTGTGGATGGTGGCTTATTTTCTTCGCTGGTAAGTGATTGTGTTGTTATTAATCAATAATCAGACCTATTTACTTAAAATACTGTGATTAAGTAATGTTTACGAAATATTCCATGTATGTACCTAAAGTGTTTGAGCATGTTCATGTCCAGCTCTTGAAAATAAGTTTTTGCCGTAATCTCGTAGATTTGATACACAAAAGCATAATTACATTTACCTGTAAACTTAAATGACAATGGTTTTTGTTTTAGTAAAATAAATGAGTACCGCCGAGCGACGCGGCGCTCGCGGCGTCTAGCTGCGGTGGAGGCCCGGCGGCGCACTGGCGCCTTGCAGCTGCCACCAATACCCCTGCCGTGGGACTGGCACTTCTATCGAAAGTGTGATCTATCCAAAATGATAGCCAATGTGTGGATGGTGGCTTATTTTCTTCGCTGGTAAGTGATTGTGTTGTTATTAATCAATAATCAGACCTATTTACTTAAAATACTGTGATTAAGTAATGTTTACGAAATATTCCATGTATGTACCTAGTGTTTGAGCATGTTCATGTCCAGCTCTTGAAAATAAGTTTTTGCCGTAATCTCGTAGATTTGATACACAAAAGCATAAATACATTTACTTGTAAACTTAAATGACAATGGTTTTTGTTTTAGTAAAATAAATGAGTACCGCCGAGCGACGCGGCGCTCGCGGCGACTAGCTGCGGTGGAGGCCCGGCGGCGCGCTGGCGCCTTGCAGCTGCCACCAATACCCCTGCCATGGGACTGGCACCACGACAAGGCGTCAGCGCTAATAAACATACCGGTGCCGTCCTGGTGGAGGCACCCAAATTTGATTTTTGGTCGGCGGGGTTGGGACTAAAGGAAACGAAAATATACTATGAACTGTAACATATGTTGTTTAATTTGCCAAATACCTATTATATATACAAACCTTAAATCTATATAGGTACCTATTACGTCTTCTGCAACAGATTCCAAACAAGTATCAGAGGTGCTGTAAATAGGTAGGTAGGTAGGTACCTATGTTACCTAGTTGTAGTAGTTCCAAAAAACAATAAACGTCTTTGATAAGATCATTGAACTATTATTACTAGCGTATAGAACAGACGCAACCACGCAACCAACCTGTTTTTTGAGCCGTGCGTTGTTGCCAATTGGCAACAACTTGTTTAGCTTTTGTTTAGTCACTAGTCAAGCGCTCAAGCGATTGTTCGTGTGCCAAATAAAACCAAAAAATGCCGGCTTGCGCGCTGAAAACATGTAAAAATCGATCAACTGCAAATAAGAAAGATAGTGGTGTGTCTTATCATCGGTAAGTAGAAACAAATTGATATTTAAAACCAACCAAAACTAATTTTATAGGGTCACGTGAGGTAATTGCAATAACGGGGCAATTGCAATAGGGTGCGTTTACGAGCTAACTACTAAAGAAAACTGGTGCTGCCATCTCTGATATGTGTAAAGTACTATTTAAACTTCGCGCCGTTCAATTCGCGAGAGAGTTTGACAGGTTGATGAGCGAATGAAACGTCATTAGTTGAGTGACGTCGATGCCGCGTGTTACACACTTTGTTATCCCAACTTTCAATCGGTTTTCATCTCGAAAAGAAACGTAAGTTTTTGAATTTATTTGTATTAATGTGATAATATTCTGTGTTGGGAATGAATCTAAATGATAATTTTTACTTAATTGGTGAAGGTTGTTTTTTATGGCTATTATTGCATTTACCCCTTAAAATTTTAATGTTGGGGCAATTGTAATAAGGCAAGGGGCAAATGTAAAGTTTTATTACAATTACGTCTTTCCAGATGGTGCGAAATTATCTAAAAAAAAGGACCTCCGAAATACTCGGAAGAAAAATTACAAAGAGCTCTTGATGAAATAAAAGCCGGTACGCTTACCATACACAAAGAGTCTGTTCTTTACGGAATTCCATTTGCAACATTGTATTGCCGAAACAAGGGAACTCGAGGAGCTATAAAAAAATGTAAGGGACGCAGAACTGCACTTCCCGAAAATGTTGAAAATGTTTTGGCAACATCTGTTAAAACTCTTGCTAAATGGTGCTTTGGTCTTAGTCGAAAGGAAATTATAGAGCTAGTAGGCCAGTACGTAAACATTAAAAAATAGAAACCCCATTTAAGAGAGGCGTACCATGGGAAGACTGGTTCCTTAATTTCAAAAAACGACATAATTTGTCAATTCGAAAGCCAGAACCATTGGAGTATGCGAGAAAAAAGGCTGCCACGGATCCATTCATCATCTATGGATATTTTGACCTTTTAAAAAAATCCTGACAGAGCTAAATTTAGAAGACAAGCCCAAACAAATATGGAATTTGCACGTAAAGTTATTGAATCTTAGTTTGGAATGACACGTGTTTTTTTTATACCAATGTTCTTTTTATTGCTCTGCCTGTGACTTTTAGAGTGTGAAATGGATAATAAAGTATCCTTTCTTGTTATTTTTGAACTAAATAGATACCTACCTAATTTCTAGGAATCCAGTACTTAACGGCCGAAACGGAACATTTATAATTTTTGCTCAGCCCGTTTGTGTGTCCGTGGATTTGTTAACCCATCGTATGGGTATTTATTGAATAGGTCTCATAAAATGGTTATTTTAGACTACTTATTTTTACAGGTACTCTGCTAAAAGGCCACCAGGTTTGCCACGCTGTAATCATGATGCGGAAAATAAACAGTTTAAATGTTGCAAATTAACGATACTAGATATACAAAATTTCCATGTAGAATTTTATAAAACAAGAAATAAAAAGGACCAAGATGCATTTTTATTGAAGCACTGCAGAGTGTCAAGGGTGAAAAGACGCCGGCCAAGAGTTGGTCAGCGCCAGCCAACACAAAATACAACAAAATTATTTGTTCGAATGAAAAATTCAGTGAAATTAATACGAGTTTGCCAAAAAACTTTCATAAATATTTTGGGGATTACTGAGCACAGAATAAGAAAAGTATCTCGAACATTTGCCAGCACAGGATCCATAGCTCAAGAAAAAAGAGGTGGAGACCATACATCAGCCAAAAATATCTATAAATTGAGAGAAGTCAAAAGATTTATAGAGTCATTTCAGTGCTTAGAGTCACATTATTGCAGATCGAACGTTATGAGAAAATATTTGCCATCTACTCTAAACATTCGGAAAATGTGGAGAATGTTTAATCAAAGCATTGAAATCCAAGTACGTGAATGTTACTTTAGATCAGTTTTTAACACATGCTACAATCTAGGATTTGGAAGTCCTCGTACAGATACTTGTTCTAACTGCAATGAACTAATTGAACGTATAAAAAAATCAACAGATCCAACTGAAAAAGTCAATTTAATGACGGAGAAAAGGGTACACATGTTGAAGGCAAGAGCATTTTATCACCTGCTTAAGGAAAAATGGGACGATTTAGTTGTTTTCTTTCGATTGCCAAAAGAATTGCCTAAAATATCTGATCAGGCGGCATATTACAGTCGCCAGTTATATATATTTAATTTTGGAGTCGTAAAGTCGG